GAGATTGTCATAACTCAGTGAGATTGTTAATAAGTTTCATCATTTCTATATATATCTATCATCAGAAATTTGAGGATTTGAGAAGAGCAGATATTAATGAAATTGAATTTTAAAAGTAGAGTGATCTTATAAAGAATACAGTGAGATTTTTCTGAGCAGAACTCAGAGTTAATATTTGTATTAATAATACTATTGAAATTGATATTTTCTTAACTGATAAAATCAGAAATTATACTCTGCATTACTTTTTCAGAGTTGATAGATCTTTGAAGAGCAGACTTATCAGTAATATATTCTTCAATAAATGCAGGATTTACAGCAGTGATTGATAGTTTTTTCAGGAAATATCTGACTCTTCAGCTCAGAGTCTCATTATCAAAATAAATGAATTCATTTCAAAGTTACTGTGTTTATGAGCTATGTCAATTGCTGAATCAGAATCAATAAATTCATTAGTAGAATAAGAGACAGTAGTAATATCTTCAATAGCAGTATCTTTCATAGTAATATCTTCAGTAACTGACTTGTCAGAATCTTCTTAATCATCATTTTCTGAGATATTTTTCAGAATATTCTTCTCAGTGCCTGCTTTTAAAAGTCACTCTATATACTCAATATTATCAGTGACATTCTCATTATATGACTCTGTCTTTAGACAATGTTAGTTTTTATAATAATAAGATATTAAAAGTGATAAATATACTGAGAATAGTAATACTTCTTTATCAGAAATATTATTATCTGAATCACTGTCAATGAAATTCTCATTTGCAGTTTCTGAGAAAAGAGAGCTCTGAGATTGAAATTCTGATTGATTATCTTCAGATTCTTGTCTAGAGATAGATAGTAGATAGTGTTTCAGATTTCAATTAAACAGATATGATATTTTACTTTCTAATATAATTTATAGAAACAAGTTATATAGTTGAAAAGATATGATTGAAGTGAGTGAATAATCTTAATGAAATAAAGAGATGAGATTGAATTACTGAAAAGAAGTATATTAATAAGAGCTGCAATCAGTGACAATCTACATTAAATTAATATTAATAATCAAACTGTTTTCTTTATTTCAAGATTATATTTCTACAAGCTTCTGAAATCAGTATTATTCATTGACTAGAATTTCAATCTAATTTCAAAAATAAATACTCTTATTGACTCTGATATGCTAGATCTTTCTAAACTTTCTCATCTAGTAGATTTAATAAGATAATTCATCAATTTCAAAGAAAATTCAATATTAACATTTCTTAATCATAGCAGGCACACAATGACATCAATGAAGAATGCTTAATAGATAAGAAAAACAGTGAGAAGAACTCAAACTTCTCACTGATAAACAATTCATCAAGAAGATATTGAAGAACTAGATATCTTGATACTGAAATATATGAGAAGAAGATTCATCTGACAGAGTAATATCTGCAGCTAGAGATCAAATGAATATATTTTCTATTCTTCACAAAGAAAAATCTTGATCAGACAGTTACAAAAATAATCAAAACTGATAATAAAACATTATATACATTCTCATTCAGCAGAATAACAATGCTGAACACAGTCAAGACCTGAAAATCAAGATCATTAAAGAAAATGAAGATAAGTATTTAGATTTAGTAAAATAGCAACTTTTCAGCAGAATATAATAAATTCTTGATAAGAGATTATAAATCTCTGATAAGAATTCAGCAGAGAATCTTAGAAAAATCTAAACTTTTATAATTAAGTTAACTAACTTAATTTCAATATAGAATTATGTTCAATAGAAAAAGATAAAGAGCAGAATAAGTTCAGAGGTAATCAGCTTGTATAATTATTATAAAGAAACAATTATTTTTAATTACTTTTATAAGTTATTCACTGCTGAAAAGTTCTTTCTGATTTTTTATTAAGTGTGAGAAGTTATTGACTTTGACTGATTCTCTGAGTGAGAACAATGATATATGAAATATAAGTTAGCATAATTCAAATTATTCTGAAAACTAGAAACTGATTTTAAAAACAGAGATATATATCAATCTGATAACTCAGGTCAAAATGTTTGATAATACTGATATAAACAAAAATTTCATCACAGTTATAATACAATAATAAAATATTCTAATATTTTAAAATCTGATAGACAATGTTTCTGAATATCAGGAAATTATCAGAGATGACTTTGCAGAGATGATTCAGAATACTCTGACAGTTAAAAAGAGACATGCAGTGAAAAATGCATAAGAGAAAGTATAAAAAAAGATTAAATTTTCAGAGACACTTTCAGTAAAAGATAGATAATATAGAGATTTCTGATATAATCTATTTCTATTTCAATATATTTAGTTTTCTATGCATTTTATATATAAATTAGTTAATATATACTTTATTATATATTATTAGAATATATCTGTCTTAATATTCACTGATAAAAGTTATTATATTATCTATCTTGTATTTAATTATAGTTATAGCTGCAGCAGAATCACTGATTTCACTATATCAGAAAATCTTCTTATTTATCTGAAATTCTGTAGATATATTTCTGATAGTACATTGAATACTTATTTCTGATTAATTAAAATGATTTTATATTTAAAATAGCTGTAATTTATTCAGTGATAACCTGCATAGAAGATATTTATTATAAAAATAAGATATAAATGAAATCTGTCAGATTTACTGATTACACTCAGAGATAAAGTATGAAAGTAATCACTCTGTTGTATAATAATATATAAAGATGAATTAATAATATGTGTAAAGAGAATAACTTATTATCTTCTTTTTCTTTCATTCTTTCTTTCTTTTTCATGCAATAATATCATATTATGAAAATCATTCTCTGCTCATTCTACTCATTCTCATCTTCAGTAAGATTAGTATTCTATCAGCTGTAATAGAAAGCTTTAATAAGATAAGTTCTGATTTCAAGATATCTTATTTACAGAATATTATAAATATCAGTGATTTATAACAGCAATGACAGTAATAATAACAGCAGTAAAAATGACTGATAAAACATCAAAGTATATATATACAGCTGCTGTAAAAGCTCAGAAGAAGAAGATAAGTCAGCAGAATACTCTGATAAAGCAGTCAGATAAGAAGACTATATATAAATACTGTATTAAATGAATTTTTCTTCATCATCTTGAAGTCTCTTGTGATAAGATGAAGAAAAGCTTGAAGTCATGTAAGAACTGTAACTATGATAAAAAGAGATGTATAATCTTTCTCTCTGAATTAAAAGAGCATGTTGACAAGCTGATTCAAATTCATGATTTTTATATTACTTTATCAGATGATTTCAAGAAATCAGTTAAGAGATTAATATTGAAGATAGTAAAGAATCTGATTAAATAAATCAAGAAGACTAGAACACACTGTTAGAAAATGAAGAGTGTAACTATTATAATCAAGTCACTGAATATAATTATCAGTGTCACTGAAAAGACTAGAATCAAGATATAAAAAGCTATAATGAATATTGAATAGATCAAATTGACAGTTGAGCAGAAGAAAATAGTAATTAAAAAGTTTAAATTAACAGTTAAGTAGAAGAAATTAATAATTGAAAAATTCAAATTAACAGTTCAGCATGAAATTCTGATAATAGTTAATTATTATATGAAAGATCAGAACTGAGTAATAGCATGTCTGATAGATATAATAAATCAGATAAATTAAAATATCTTCAATATTATAGTAAAGATATATGAAATTTTGAACTAAGTGAGAACATTCTCTGATACTTAGCAGAACACTGATGAGAATGAGAAGTCTGATAATGTCAATAATACTGATAATTCTCTTTTCTCTGTTCTCTCTGTCTTCTCTGCTACTCTCACTGCCTGTCTTATCACTGCTTCTGCTGCTGATACTGCTCTCTCTACTTCTTCTACTGTCTATCTTATCACTGTTACTTCTGCTAGTTCTCTCTATCTCTTCTCTGAGATTTCAATGATCAGCTCTGATTTGAACATTTTCCATAATAAAAAAAATGTAAGTTAGAATCAGTGAAATACTTCTTACATTTATATATATAGAAGTTAATAATGATAATATAAATGAGTAAATAAACTGTCTGTGAATATTCAGAAATCTCTCAGTCTAAACATTGTATTAATTCTGCTTCTCTTCTCAAGAAAACTTCAATCAGAATTCTCAAGTTCACTGATATTAATAAGAACAAGAACATGCAGGTAACAGAGAATGATGAGAAAGAATAGAAAATAATGCAGAAAATTCACAAGAAATTGAATTATCACTAGAGATTGTCAATATCAGTGAAGAAGATGTTTTTTTAAGTTAGTAGTTAGTAGACTGACCGTGTGACCGTGTCTGGGACCAGGACCAGAATTTTTGATAGTCTCATTGTCAATTCGACAGATCCCATTACACAGTTTTAACATTAGATAGTAGTTTCATACTGTTCCAGTGAGACTTACTGTCTACTCTTGTCACATTTTTCAAATGGGATCATGATTTCCACTTCTCAATTTAAATTATTTTTATTGCTTTAAATGGCTTTAAATCTCATTTGAGTGTTATCAAAAAGTGTTACTTTTTAAAAAATTAAAAATAGTCTAAAAAAAACCTTAAAATGTCTAAAAATAGTAACTTTATGCCAAGAATGGGATTAAATGAGACCAAATGGGACCACTTTCTCATTTTTTTCAAGTCATGGTTTCATTTTGAGATCTGATATATAGTCACTTTGCATGTTTATTTAATGATTAGTCCCAGCGGGATTCACGCCAAGAAATGTATGGGACCAGACCAAATGGGACCAAATGTGAAATTCATGGTCCCGGCGGCCAGTCTAGTAGTTAGAGAGATAGAAATCAGTAACATTATCAATACAATGATGATTTTTTCCTGTTCATAACTTGTTTACAGTGATTCCACAGCTAATCCACCATTATATTATATTTTACAGTTCGGCGACGGTGTCAGCGACTGGCACGGCGGAACAACCATAACCCGGTCGTATAATAAGCCTACGTTTTTCCGGTAAGGTTGATGTCGTCATCTCACGTGGTTTCGTGGCAGCTCTATCTTATCTGTTCGCGCCAACCACGCGAACCAAGACAGCGCCCGATAGCTTTTGTCGATGCTCTCGAATTGCTGCGTCAATGCAGTAACAACGGTTACCGTACGAGTCCCAGCCGTTCAAAAACTTAAGTGATGCTATCACGATAAACATTTATCGAATTCGAGCCGCTTCCCGCTTGAAAACCAGACATGTCGTTTCACGCAGCCAAACGCCGTCGACTCGACCAAGCTACACACACGCTCTCCAAGCCCTTCAAATCCCCACTCCGTAAACAAATCCAAAACACATCTGCAGAGAACGGCGACGAGAAAGCCGACGGCGTGTCGAAATCAATAGCTCCAGTCGACGATGCATCTCATAATACAACCATCTCCGCCGGCGCCCAACATTCACCACACACCCCACGTCCCGCTTCCGCAGCCATCAAGCGGCCCACCACAATCCCACCAACCCCACCACCTACCATATCGACACCCTCACCAAGCGCACCTCCCGAACTCCTCGCTCTCCAAAAGCAGTACTCTGCCCTGACAACACGCCTCGCAAAACTACGGATGGATCTTGATATTGTTACACAGGCATTGAAGCTCGAGCAGTCGGGGAAGGATGCGGAGCTTGAAGTGCTAGTTGCGAAGTGGAAGACTGCAAGTCGGGAGGCGGCGGAGGAACTGTTCGTTGGCGCTGAGGAGAGGGTGAAGAGGATGGGTGGTGTGAAGGGGTGGAGAGAGAATATGAGAAAAGCGCAGGAGAGGAGGACGAGGTGGGATGAGGATGAGCGCGATGTTGGCGGTAAGGATGAGATGGGGAGTGAGGGGGGGGAGGTTGAAAGGAGAATAGCGGAGATGGAGGGGGAGATTGAGGGGCTGGAGCGCAGGAGTGATGGCAAGGATGGAAATAGAGATAAAATTGGGGAAGGTGATGAGGGCGAGGTTTGATTGTTCTTTTTCTCTTTGTGATTTTTTCTTCTATGTTTTCTGTGTGATATTCTTCTCTTTATGCTAACATTTGCCTACAGAGTTTCACGATGGATATGATGCTAAAGAGCTTGAATATTGAACTTGATATCATCGGATTCGATAAAGATACCCAGCAATGGGTATAAATCCAAGTCTACAGTCGAAGGTATGACAAAGAGTTACTGCAAACCAAATGATTTACCACGTCTCTGTTGCGTGATCGCTGAGCTAGTAACAGTTTGTCTAAATAAGGTATGTACACATTTTCTCTCTTCCCAGATCTTGAAATGTAACAAAACTCTCTGAGATACTGAGGGGATTAGCACGATAGGGGCTACAATGCTACTGCACCAACAGGTTATTCAGCTGCAGCACGACGAAAGCAGTCTATAGTTCTCTAGGTTGCAATTCCCGAACGACAGGCCATATATAGACGCTTGTCGAATGAGGGGTTTTGTCATCGGACTAAGGAAATCTCTTTTAATTCGTATCATGAATATGCCATTAAAATTCCTTCCAGCTACTTTATCTCTTAGCACTATATCATTATAATTTATCTTTCATACAACAATGTCCTATATTTTCTGTGGATGAACGGAGCGGTCTCTAAAAGTTGCAAAGCCTTAAACCATTTGTTCTACCCACGTTCCCTACGTTTAGAAAACAATGCCTGGTATAACAATCGGCAGAGTGAGAATTATCAAATCGTATTCCCCAGGAATCCCTTGATAGTCCGAAACTCAATAAGCTATGCTATGGTTTCTCCATATACGCGTCGAAGATATTGCCGATTTCACTGGCGCTCTTCTTCGGGTACCTCTTCTGCCCGCCCTCGTAGTCGACGTACGTCACTCCAAAACGAGTAATGTATCCTTCTGCCCACTCGAAGTTGCTAAATTAGAGAGAGATACAGGGTTAGCTAGCCACTTCAGAAGGGTAGATAAAACTTTTCTGAACACATACTCCAGCAAACTCCACGCCATATACGCTCTCACGTCGACATTATCCAGCGCATACGCATCAGCCATTGTCCCGATATAGCCACGGAAATACTCAACCCGGAATTCATCGTCCAGCAACTGTGCCAACGGCAAGTCATTCTCGCCTTTCAAACTGGTCCCATTCTCCGTAACGTAGATCTTCGGCCGGCCATATCGATCACTCAACCATTTTAGCAATTTACGAAAGCCCAACGGATACGGACGTAGCCACTCGGACTGCGTCTCCGGGCCGACAGGGTTTCCGTTCTTGTCTTCCATCAAGCTCTCTATGTTTCCAAAGAAATCACCCGGGGCCGGCTCGTCGGTCCTGTTCTTGATAAAGTGCGCGCAGTAGTGGTTCATGCCGTAGAAGTCATTGCTTCCTTGGACGAGGGCGCGCTCTGCCTCTGTCCAGGTGGGTAGGCGGTCTCCTAGCTGCTTGAGCATGCTGTCCGGGTATTTGCCGAAGTATATGGGATCAGCAAACCATGAGATGGAGAATTCGAGTTTTCGGTTTGCTGCCTCGACGTCGGCTGGGTTCTCCGAGTCCCAGGGTAGAGCCCAGTCGCCTGTAAATTTGGTCATACATATCAGCATTGATATCCGAAGAATTGTTTTAAAACCCCCTTTGTTGTTCCGGGAGCAGAAATCAAACGGACCATTGAGTGTAATGCCAATTTCCCCACCATCTCGAGCCTTGAACTCCTCTCTGTAAATCTTCACTACAGCACCATGAGCAACAAGGAGGGTATGCCCAACAATCCAGGGCTCGCGGCTGCTATCGCCCTCGGCACTCTTGGACCGATCACTACAACGACCCGGGGCAAATTGACCCGTATTATAGCCCAGAATCGAGCTGCACCATGGCTCATTGAAAGTAATCCAATACTTAACCTTAGGACTCAATTCCTTGAAGACAACGCGAGCATAGCGGGCGAAATCGGCAACAAACTCATTCTTGTTAAGGTAGCCTCCGTATCTCTTATGTAGCTCGTCCGGTAGGTCCCAGTGTAGCAATGTGACTATGGGAGTGATCCCAGCAGCAAGCAGATCGTCGACGAATTTCACATAGTGCTGCAGCCCCTTCTCATTAATCGGGTCATTTCGACCTCCTAGAGGAATGATTCGGGACCTTTATCTCCATCCCCATATTTTGGATATAACGTATTAGAATATTCTTCCTGTCAATTCGGAAGATGGGAACGAGCTCTGCAGGCACCCAAGCAAAAGGGAAACATACCAGGAGAGAGAAAATCGATACGCCCCCGCTCTACACAATTTCAAAAGCGCAATATCCTCAGAGGTCCTATTGTACGAGTCACAAGCTGTCTTTCCAGAGGACCCATCCGCGATTTTCCCGGGGATATTGCAGAAAGTATCCCAGATCGAAGGCCCACGGCCATCAGCTTCAATAGCTCCTTCAATTTGATAGCTATCAACAAGAATTGAAGAAGTTTGAGAATTGGGTTAGTTGGGTATATCCCAGTGGGCCACACCAATCGCATACAATAACAAGGTGTAAGAATAAACTTAAGCAAATGGGCTGCTTTTCGTACCTAGCTGTCGCAAACCCCCACAGGAAGTCCGAAGGGAGTTTGGAAGTAGTCGTAGACATGATGAAGTTTTTCAAGTAAGGCAGGAATATATATTTTACTTTTCTTCTAGTTGTATTTACGCAAGAAATAATTGGTTCCTGTTTCAAAAGTGTACGCTGGACACTATCAAGACAACACAATATGTCTCTCTTAAATATCGTCAAGGGACAGAAAACAGCGGCAGGCTGAAGGGAGATGAACACGGTAGACAGCACGGTAGACAAGCGTATAAATATCCCATTCAAGCTGCAACAGTGCCAGCCATTGCAGTCCACTTAGTTATATACCTCCACATCTCCAGTCAGAGAGCTAAATGAGATCCGGATCTGCAGCTATCATCGAGACGTCCTCACGTCGCGGGTAAAGGCTAAAAATGTCCGGAGTATTGCAATCATGTTTCAATGCCATACGATATCTAAACAACTATTTAAACACTCTTGGAGCTCTATGCTGGTACAACCTGAAACAAAAAAAGGAGCTCAAACAAAATGAATGCAAATGTATCGGAAGGACATAAAAACCAAGCAAAGGACAAACCACTTGCCGAATAGTAAAATAGTGAAAGGAAAAACACCCGCAAACAAACCTAATTACCTATCCCACGCCATGCCAGTTCATACAGTGGTAAACTTTCGAGCAGGAGAAAAAGATATAACCCCGAAACATTTATCCCATTATTGCAACCCATCAGTATGTCCTATACTATCCCGTCATGATAGCTCCATGCCATCATCCTCATCTCCATCACCCTCATCAAGGTCTTCCATCCCCGGCCCTGGCGCAGAGCCAGCTGCAACGTGATTCTGCTTATTGTCCGCACCCGACCCGAACCCGTCCAACTCACTAACAAGCTCAAGTTCATGGCCCGGAACCACCCGCCCCTCCATATCCACCACTTCGCATAGCTCCATCAGGCTCTGCCTGCTTAGGTTACGGAACCCCTCCGTTCTAACAACGCGGCCCCAGTTGGCGAGGCAGAAGGATGCTGCGCGGCGCTTCAGCCATTCCTCATTCGTCCGTCCTGCGCGATCCCAAATGATCGCTGCGTTGTCGACGTCCAGTTCCCGGCTGAGCCGATTGACACAGAGCAGACGGAGTTTGGGCATGTCATAAAGGTTAGCCATTACTAGCATGCCTGCCACTTCAGTAATATCTGAGCAGTACTCTGGATGTCCAGCGATGCTGTCCGTGTACAGATAGTAAAGAAAAGCACGGACGACAGAATATGGTTCGGGGATGTGCATCTTCTTCGTGTGGTATTCTGCCATTTGAGCAGAGTAAAGGCGCTTAAAGTGTGGCCATCTGGCTTGTAGAATTATCCTGTGAACGTGAATGGGCTGGGACGTTGAGTCGGTGCTTGTAAGAAATGTGGATTGGGCATGGGAAGAAGATGGCGACATGATCGAATCACTAGACTCTGGATGATGTGTATCATCGTCATGGTCTGCGGTAATGATAAAATCCGTTCCGCTCCCAGATTCGGGAGGTTGGTCGAATACCGCAACTAAATCGGCTCCCAGGCCGGTGCAGCGTGGCCGTGGCGCTTCCTGTCGTTCTGATGCAAGTATTCTGGCTTGTTCGGAATATTCAAATGTGAGGTCGTTACCAAGGAGACCGTATCGCTCAAGATTGATTAGGAGCACCTGATTTAGGCGATTTTCGTCTCCAGCACCAGTGGCGTTTGGAACCTCAAGGCTACATCCAAGAAGCCACGCTCTAGTACCATCCTCATTGAGGGTGCAATAATGCCACCGGTATCCAGGTTTGAATATTTCTTGCCCATCCGCTAGACGCTGCCACCTTAACGAATCAAGCTCCAGAGAAGCGAGATTGACATCCCACGGTTGAACGGTCTCTGAAGGGGTTGCAATATCGAGAAGAACACCGGATGAGTACACATGGAAGTGCGTGCCGGATAGGAGCGTAGGTACGTGAGGGCCGGAGTGGAATTTGAGTGAAGAAATAGCACCAGGAGCTGTGAGTAGTTTTCGGCGGCTCAGCGTTCTAACTTGCACACTGGCTGAATTGGCGGCATATCCACCAGGACGCCCTTGGAGGGCAGGGGTAGGACTATACTGGGCTGCGGGGCTGTGAGTCACCCTAGCAAGAGTTCCTGGGGGTTCGACGGTACCTTGTGACGATGAGATCCTGAAAGACGGGATGCCTTTCAAGTCCAACCACCAAAGATCCGTACCGCGCTCCATATCTGAACCGAGACCCCCAAAAACCCAAAGGCGACCTCCCCAGATCCAGGCCGTGTGATCGAAACGAGCCACAAATCTCCACCAACGAGACCACGTCCACGTCTTCAAGTCAAGATAGCAAATATCATCCAGGATAACATTTGTCTCGCCGGTTATTCCCCCAGTTATTCCTCCAACCACAAAAAGTTTGTCTTCGTAAATCACAGAGGCGTGCCGTGCTCTTCCACGGGGTATCGGTCCACGTATTTCAGGTGATGTCCAGGTGGACGTAGAAATATCCAGGATAACGACGTCGGAGAGGTATTCGCGATGTTCATTCTCCCCGCCAAACACAATCAATTTATTTCCTTGGTAAAGAGAAGCGGTATGTCCTGGTTAAAGGTGATTTTTCTCATGTCAGTCATGCGCCCAAGCTATTACTATAGCAAACAAGGAGTCGGGGAGAACTAACCCATCCTGACGCCGGGAATGTCTCCATAATTATCAACTAGATTCCACCTAAGAGTTGTAAGATCTAATCGGAGAACATGGTTGTAAACTGCATAGACAAAGCGTCAAAATATTAGATCTGTTCAGGATTCCAAGAGATGCAGCACAGCGCAGGAGCAATCTCCCTAACCTTCATCGGTATACTGGTCGAAGCCTCCAAAAGCATATATTTGGTTATTTCCACAGTATGTGACAGAGGCGTTGACGAGACATGCAGGGGGGTTTCCAGTGGACCTCTTCACTGCGGGACGATAGCCATCACCACTCCCGCGGCGACCTTTGGGAGGACTAGTGGGCATAAGATAGGAATTGTCATTATTTTGTAGAGAATGAGACGTCAATGACGAGGAGGATGCGATGCCTGAGGTAGCCAATGTCGAAGAGCCTCCCCAGCTGCTGCCACTACTGCCTCCGACCTGTGTTGCCTGAGCTGCTGAGTATGAACTACTACTAGGAGTAGCTCTAGACGATGGAGATGAGAGTTCATGTGCCATGATGGGCAGCAAGGTAATATAAACCTGCTAAAACGAGACAATTTGACCAAGAAGAAGTTGGTGATCACGCAGGTTGCAACAGGACCATGGCGTTGCGCAGTCGCATCCCCAGAGGCTTTGCAGTATTTCAAAGCCTCTGGACTAAGTAAGTTGACGTCGATGTTTTGGGAAAATTGAGGAGTTGGGCGGCAGTTTGTCCAGTTTGCCGCAGCGAAGGGTCTTGGCACAAAACTCTGACTAGTGGCTTGGCAAGAGCATTGATGAGGGAATACACGCTAGACCCGATGCATCCGCGGCTTATCTCAGCAGCGGTTGCCGTAGCGATCAAATTGCGCTAAGTCGATGTAAATATTTATTCGCGGGGGAATTCTACTTCCTCCTCTACTTCTTTTGCTTCATCTTCTCTTCATCCATATCCTCCATCGGTGCTTTTCCTCCACTATATCTCTCTATATCCGCTACCTTGTAGTATCCCTACTTGTTTATCCTCTGTGTTGACCGAATTCCATCCATTTATCTTTGTCGAACATAGCTATTTCAAGTAGTTATACATCCAGACGTACTGCACACGATCCCCTTCCCCCTCTCCCCAATTATTTCTCTGTAAAGAACGCCCAGGTTGTTCTGGAAAACGGCTTCAGCGTTAAATTTGACCCTTGTTGGCACTGGCTTTTGGGGTTGAGTAATTTCGGGTCGCTCGAATTCGCAGTCATATATGATGGCTACTGCTTCCGTGTCGACTCCTCTAAAGAGTCACCATGGACTTTTCTCCTCCAAGACGGCCGGTGGCCGCATGCCCTTGACACCTTCGCCCAGATCAAGAACGTCTAGCCTGGCAACTAATGTGTCGAATCACTCCTCCCCCTTCACCCCTCCACGCCAATCATCCGACTCAACCCGAGTGGTTTCTCAGTCGGTGTATGGTGGTAATCTCTCCTCTCACTTTGCCAAATCTGTTTCAAGAACTGTGTCAAGAACTTACCGGGATTCTCCAAAGTCGAATATTGCCAAAACCAGAAAATCTCCCCGCCATTTGGAGCTGGGCGTTTCTGATTGGACGTTGACTGGAACTGGCCCAGCCACCGGTCAAACACCGACCAAGAAAAAGGATACTACCTTCCGCTCAAGGAATTCAAAGACAACCATTCGTCTTCCGCATAATTCAGCAGATCGTTTTATTCCGAACCGTTCGGCCAGCGAGTGTCTTGCGACTGCGGGAACTGCCAAGCCAGACGAGCACCAACGGCCAAAGACTAGCGAAGGCTCTACTGTGCTAGCAAATGCCGCTAGTGCATTCCACATTGGCGGCAGCGATAGCGATGACGACATCGCCAGTGCTCTGGAGAATCTTGGCCTCGATGATAATGACAACCCCACCTATTCTCGGCCTGCGCCAGATGCTGTTGCATACAAATCATCCCTTGCGGACGCATGCAACATTTCCCTGAACACTCGTATTCTTGCGTTCAAACCCCCTCCTCCAGAATCATCCAAGCCAATTGACCTCCGCTCCCAGTACAACCGTCCTCTTAAACCCGCCAATTCCCAATCTGCTCAGTTCAGGCGACGAGTTCAAACGGCCCCAGAACGTGTTTTGGATGCCCCAGGCCTAGTTGATGATTACTATCTCAACCTCCTCGATTGGAGTTCTGGTAACCAAGTCGCAATTGGCCTCGAACGCAACGTCTATGTGTGGTCCGCGGAGACCGGCTCTGTCAACTGCCTTCTTGAAACCTCACCTGACACCTATGTCAGCAGTGTGAAATGGAGTGGCGATGGAGCTTATGTTGGCGTCGGGCTCGGCACAGGAGAAGTCCAGATCTGGGATGTTGAGGAAGGCAGCAAGTTGAGGAGCATGTTTGGCCATGAGACCCGTGTCGGTGTTATGGGATGGAACAAGCACACGCTGTCCACTGGTGCGCGAAGTGGACTCGTTTTCAACCATGATGTTCGCATTGCCCAGCACAAGACTGCTGAGCTTGTTTCGCACACATCCGAGGTCTGCGGCCTTGAATGGCGGTCCGACGGTGCCCAGCTTGCCACGGGAGGAAATGACAACCTCGTCTCAATCTGGGACTCCAGATCCCTCAGCGCGCCCAAATTCACCAAAACCAATCACCGTGCCGCTGTGAAGGCTCTTAGCTGGTGTCCCTGGCAATTGAATCTCCTTGCTACCGGAGGTGGCTCCTATGACCGCCACATCCATTTCTGGAACACCACCACTGGCGCCCGCACCAACAGCATTGACACCGGTTCCCAAGTCACTAGTCTTCGGTGGAGCAACCACTACCGCGAGCTTGTGAGCTCCAGCGGTTTCCCCGACAACTCCCTGAGCATCTGGAGCTATCCTTCCCTGGTCCGCAACGTGGAAATCCCCGCTCATGAAACACGTGTGCTGCACAGCTGTCTCAGCCCTGATGGGCAGATGTTGGCTACAGCTGGTATGTCTGTCTTAATAACCTAACGTTCCGCTTAACTATGCCTTTTCTTCTTTTACTATGGTCTTGTCGCTAACTTTAATTCCTCTAGCTGCCGATGAGAGTCTTAAATTCTGGAAAGTTTTCGAGCGTAAGCCCGGCACCACGGCTGCTGCTTCGAGGGAGGGAGCTGTTGGATCTAAAGGAAGCCAGATGGCTAAGCAAATGACGATTCGGTAAATAAAAGGTAAATCGGCTTATTGTCGGGGTATGAGCGGCTCATCCATTTTCTTGGCGTTCAGGGTTGCTTTGTCTCTCTCGTTGGTAGGGCATTGAGGTGTTCAAAGCATCTTGTATGGCCCCTTAGAACTCTTTTGGGCCGGATATGAAGAGCGTAACTCCTGGCATTCTAAGCGGCGTGTGTTTCTTTCTTCTTTTTCTTTTTTTCTTTTCTGTCGATAACCATAACTAATATGTTTTGCTTTTGTTTCTGTTTCTGCTTTGTTGTTAGCTGTTTTTGCTGTTCAATTCTGGCTTAGTTTTCGGGGTCTTTCTTGTTAGATAGCAAGTTTAATTTCTCGTTTGCTGCTTGGGTTTCATTTTCTACCTTTTCCACTCAATATGGGTCTATTTAGTGGGCCAGCCTTTCTTTTCAGATAAATGTTGGGGAGGGAATAGATAGAGCATTCGCAATAAGTAGCATGCATCGTTACTGTGATTCTCGGAGCTCAAGAGTACACCGGCGCACGATCTCAAGCGTACCTTCGCACGACAGAAATAAGAACAGAAGAGCGCGCAAAAAGCACTGTATCTGAGATGTCGGGACTAAGCCGATAAGAAAGGCGAGAGAATGAGAATGAGAGCGAGCAGGTAGATGGCTCTGGGAGAGTGGTGGTTAACTACCACCTATGGTCCGCTGACTAAGCAATCTGACCGTTGATACAATTTCCACTATAAATACGATTTCTCCCTTCTTCACCATCCGACCAAGCAGCCGGCCACGGAAGCGAAGAAGCCCGCCACCTATCGCTTCAGCGCCAGAAACACATTTATAAAACTCGTATCGGGATTAATCTACTGAGCTTTCACTTCTGCTCACTTGTTCTTTGCTATTTTCTTTACGAGAGGGTCTGGGATAAGGTTAGCGGGTGAGCTTCTTCCCGAGAAAACGGGTCGCGGGAAGTGAGAGAGAGTTTGAAAAAATCAAATCAACCAACACAATCGACAGAGCCATACTTCTTGTCTCTTTTTTCCTCTTCCTTTCTTTCTTAAGCTCCCTTCATTCTTGAGGCCGTATATATCCCTTCCTATCATCCCTTTGTGGTTGCGCGCGCTTTTCCGTCTCTTGTCGCAGCGATGTCCAACCAGCAGGTGGTAAGTAAAAAGCCGGAGAGAGAGAGAGAGAACAAGCTTCCCTTCCCATTCCATACCTAGCCAAAATGCACTAGCTTCTGTGAGACTCACATATCCTCTCTTCTTTTTCCCGTTTTTGGCAAATTAGGGCGTTGTGTTCGATAAGGTCATCCAAGAAGTATGCGACTCGTCCCAGATCGATTTTGAGGAGGGCGGCGTTGACCAGCAGACGTTGGAAGATTTGAGGAAGGTTAGTTCGTGATGTTCCTGTTCTTCTTTTGTTTCACTCTTTCTCCGTCAAGATGATGATGATGATGATGATGGATGGATGGATGGACGAATGTGGATGCGGCGGTGGTGTTGATAGGCCACCCGGATACCTGGCGTTGGTCCTCGCGGAGTGAGTGGCAACCGAGGGAACTGCGCTGTTTAAAGGGAATCCAGGCCTGCTTTTAATAAGGAGTCCACCCACCCTGGGCGCCGGCGGCTGACGGCTGCCTTGGCCCGCGTGTGGCTCCAGGCAGGACAAGATGCGGGCAAAATTGCTCTTGTCCTTTGTCGCAGGCAGATTGCGTTGTGGTGCTGTTGCCGCTTTAGTGGTCCGGCAGGCATCCGCATGACTAAGCAGCACTTCGCATCATCATCATCATCTACATCTACATCCATATCTACAACTACATCTACCCGCTTGGGTGCTACGACTTTGTTTTTAATTTGATGCCAATGCTAATGCTGAATTGTGTTGCTGTTCGTTCAGGGATGGCGGAAGAAGCTATCTTCACTTGGGGTTGCCCATTTCCCTTGGGATCCTGCGCCGCAACCTCCCCCACCGCCTCAGCAACCCCCGCAGGCTCACCCACCACCACCGCATGTGCAAGCCCCTATTCCTCCACCCCCGACAACAGTTCCCTCCAATGGCCCGCGCACCACACCACCACCACCACAATCACAACCACTCCAACACCAACACCATCTCCAACACCAACAACCACATCAGCGGCAGCCCCAGCAATCACACCAGCAAGCTCAACCACCTCCCTTTTCCCATGTCCCTACCTCAGCCCCTGAGACATCAGCTGGCGATATACGTATCAAATCAGAGCCAGGCTATCCGCCTACTGCATCAAGCCTACCCCCAGTAAATCCGTCAACTCTCGCGCAGCAGCGTGCGGCGAATGCATTACATCAGAGGTATGGAGCAGCTGCGGCAAACCAGGTGCATCAGCTGCA